TTATATCCAACCCTGAAGTTTTCGATGAAATAATACCATAATTATAAAGAGTCCGGAAATATATTAGGATTTGTAAGGGAACAATTATTTTTTATAGGTTTTTTTTTTTAATTTTTTCTCAATATTTTTTTATCAAGCCCAAAATAGTTCCATTTTTTTTTGTAATTATTTTGTTCTCGGTCTTATTATAATTTTGACTTAATGATCACCCAATTTCAGTCCAGCTTAGTTGAAACCATAAAAAAAGTTTTTCAGTCCATTGGATGATCTAACCTCATTCTCTAATCATTGATCAATGCTAGTACCTAAAAAAGACAGATAGAGCGTGTATAAATAATTAACGTCATATGGGGGGCAAAATTATTACATAGCAGAAAGGTTTTAGACAGGTGACAATAGACAACGATAGATTAGGAATATGTGACAAAACAAGAAATGTACTGTTGAGAGTTGAAAAAAAAAACATGAAACTTAAAAAAAGAAAAATTTTATATTATATTATGAGTTATATATTATTATTAAATGTTAAAAAGTAAAAAACAAATAAAATATGAAGCCCTAAGTCTCTGCCTCTCTCCAACCTCCAGTTTTTCACTTTCGTTCCATTCAGACAGCAACGGTTGACGAAAGTAGTGAATCGTGTTTTGCACTCTCACTGAAAGCTGAAGCTCTTGCCAGTCACCTCTCAGTCTCCGCTCTCGGCTGTTCTCTCATCTGCAAAGTGTGAAAGAAGCCCATCCCGATCCCGTCCCGTCTTACAGTCCTATTTTAAAGTGTTAGTGCTAACAAAGACATATAGAGCATATATAACTAATTAATACCATATGGGGGGCAAAATTATTACACAGCAGAAAGGTTTTGGATAGGTGACAATAGACGACAATAGATTAGGAATATGTGACAAAACAAGAAATGTACTGTTGAGAGTTGAAAAAAAAAGTGAAACTTAAAAAAATAAAAAAAGAAAAAAAGAAAAATGAGGAGCCATTAATTAGTTGTGGCAAACATGCACAATAAACTAAAAAGATAATAGCGCTGCACAAGGTTGGGCAGGAGGATCAAACAAGAGGATCGGTTAAATTGGACAAATTCATATTTTATATAGCTGTCATCATTATGTTTTGAAACATGGTACAAAAATTTAGTATACAATACTCCCTCCGTTCCTTATTATAAGAGATAAAAAAAACAGTTAAAATTAGTTAAGAACAATGAATGTGTAAAAAGTATATTTTTTTTTCCAAAAAACCCGCATTAATAAGGAGAGAGTATAAGAGAAAACAATAGTAAATTCTTAAAAGAAAGAGAAGTGGGAAGGAGAGAGAGTGTGAGTTGAAGACAATAAATATGGGTAAAATAGGAAATCAACACAAAAAAGTAGAGACAACTTTTAAGTGTCTCTTATATTTAGGAACATGCTATAAATATCAAATGTCTCTTATAATAAGAAACGGAAGGAGTAATTTTTTGGAATGAAGAGAAAGTTTGAAGTTTGAACAAAGAGTTTCATAGTTTATATATATTTATATATATGTATTCACGTTTTCATTTATTCTTTTTTATATATCTTTAAAAAAAGGAATAATTTCAAATTTTATTTATTTTGATTTCCCCAATCAAATCAAAGAAGAAGATAAATAAATGGGAAATCATGATTGCCATTTTATTTGCCTTGTTTGAGACGGTATTCAAAAACATTTATAAACATATTTTATTAAGATTTCTTTTCACATTCTTATTAACCTCCCTAAATTGATAACAGGTGAACTCATTCTCAATTTGTGTGATCCTTGAGACGCTCAACATTGAGCAGCGACCACAATGTCACCTTTTATAATTTGTACTTTAAATTATAAAAATTGTAAATAAAGATCATAAAATTTAAAAAATTATAAACAAATACTCATTCACAAAATTATTATTAAAACCTATATTATTATTGTCAAAATCCATAATAATATTGTAACTGGTCTCTATCTGTAATTTTTCATATTCCACTGCCTTTATTTGCAGTTTTTCCTTAAATCATATATATAGTTAAAAATATTTATATTAAACATTTTAAATTTAAAATACTTTTAAAACATTATTCTGTTTTTTTAATTTAAAATATTTTTTTAATGATATTTCTTCTATGAAAGGTTCCTCTCTGCGCATCAAGCCACCGCGCATATGGCAGCCTGTCTTTGGATTATCTTTTGGCTCATCCCACGCTCACTTAAAATGATGACTCAAATTTTTAAAATTTACTGACATTATTTTTATTTGTTATCTTGATTTAAAATCGATCATTTTCCATCATATTTATAATTGATATTTTTAAGAAATACTTTATTAACCAATATAATATTTAGTTTTTTTAAAAGCTTTATATACACCCAATCTCTCCATAGGAGATGAGATTATGATTGTAAACTCTTTATATATTTTATACATATAGTAAAAAAATTTGTTCATCACCCATGAATTTTCCTCCTTTTCCACGTTAAATTTTGTGGGTCATCTTCACTATTTTTTTTTTTTTTTTGTGTAATTTTTTAATTACTCAATTCTTTTCTTTTCTCAGCATTCCACGCACATATATGTGGGACCACCATGCCCTCTCTTTTCGAGGATATCCTTTAATTAGAGAATCCTTCTGCAAAAGACCTTTTTTTTTTTTTTTAACCTTGTCCTGACATAAAACTAACAAAATGAAATAATTGTTAATAATGAATTTGTTTCAGTATTTTTTTAATGTAAAGTTAAAATGTTAATATTATCAAGTTACAGAGCTCAAGTTCTTGATATTTTTTTTTGCAGTCAAGATAAATACACCTGCGATGAAATTAGAAACATTTTACAATATTAATTTATTAATAACCATTTTTTATTTTTAAATATATTATATTAATAAAGTATTTGTATAACCCATTGTTTATTTTTTTTATATTACAATTAAACACACTCACACAAGTAAATATGTCAATGTCAATCTTAAACTTAGAACTTCATTGAAGTGACGAGTGGTGTTGTCATTAGAACAACTAGCTATTAACATATTATTCATATTTTTTGTGAGATGCAGATTGGTAACATGCATATACAAGAGTGGGTAATTATCGTATTATGTAATTACTATTTGATAATATATGTAAGAATTTTGGCCAAAAAAAATATGTAAGAAGAATTGGAAGAGAGGAAAATATTAGGTTGTATTGGCTATATATAAATATATATATTATGTACTAAAATATAATCCAAGTTGCGGCACTAAATCAGTTTTAAAAAATTATACAATATGAAGAAAAATAAAAAGAAAGAATTACGAATTGAAGGAGACCTTGGAAATACATTAATATACTATAACTACAGTATACTTTTGTTACGATTTGAATTAATAAGGACTTTACAATATTATTTTAGTAATAATTATTTTTATTTTTAAATAAATATTATATTATTTCTTTATTCCTATGACGAATATTCTCACAAACTTTCAAATCTGACCTAATACGAAGAATATTATTCAGATACTCACCTACTCCGAGACAGACGATGTAGTTTTTTCCCCCTAACAATACACTCAGTCAAATTAAATATTATTTGAAAATTAAATAAATTATCTGTTTTGGTCCGAAAATTAGTTATATTCAAAGAAACAATTTTCCAATAATATTAAAAAATAGTATAATTCATCCAATATAATTTAAACAACACACACCCTTTCCTAACTTGCAAAGGCAAGATCGAAAAAAATCAGTACCGCAAACACAGAAGAAGTTTGAAAAATCACTGAAAACCAAATCATCATCAACTACAGAGGATACATATCATCACTAATCATTAATAATTCTCACAATGTGAGCGGTTCAAACAAGATTTTTGAACATTAACATTAAAGATTCTCACTTTAATATACTAAACAAAAAGGACTAAGCAAAGAGCTGAAGCTGAAACTGATACTGCTGCTGTCCATTTCTCTGCTCCCGCGGCCGACGACGACGCTGAAGATTCAGACGATGAAGACGGATAGGCACCTGTCCCATGCGGTGGCTTTCTGTAATAGAACGGGAAGTATGGCAGAATCGGCTCCGGAGGCGGTGGGGCACCATAATATCCACTGCCGCCGCCGCCGCCGAAGCCATACGGTGGTGGTTGGTTATAATAGGGGTAGTTATTATACCCAGTTGGTGGTGAGTATACTGTTCCGCCTCCGGTCTGTGGCAGTGCTGGGGTCACCGTGGTAGCTGTCGGAGTATTGCCGCCGCCGCCGCCGCCAATGGGAGGTGGGTAGCATGGATACGGGCATGTCTGGTCGGTCCTTGCTGTGCCTGGAAAAGTAAGGAGTACCAGGAAGAAGATGATGGTGAAGAAGTGTGTGGTGCTGAAGAAGGACATGTTTGGATGGAGAGAAAAGAGGGAAAAATGAGAAGAAAATGAAGGGGTGGTAGAGAGAGAAGAAAAAAACCCAAGTGGATGTGATGTAACTGAAGGATGTGGATGTTTTGTTGTGAGATGTGTGAATGAATAATAATGGATGAATGAAGATTGAAGATGAAGTGAAGAGAGGGTAGTGACCAGTGAGGGTATTGAAAAAGAAAGTTGGAGGCAAAGTGAAAAAAAGTGAGGAAGTCACAGGTTTAGGGCTTTCAAATTGAATCACTTTATTGACGCTTTGGTCCTTTTAAAGGACTCGTTAATGGAAGTTTGGTTTGATTTATGGCATATAATTGGTCAAGATAAAACAAAAAAGCAGTAGAGTAGTGGGTGGGGGCACATCAAAGATGTTGATTTTTTTTTTTTTGGACTTCAAAAACACTGTCAATATAATTGGGTTATTTTGAAAATCGTACATCCCACAAATTTTTTAAAAAAATTATCTGTATTATTCATAATTTTCTTAGCAGAATTTTTTATTAGAAAAATTGCAAAAAAAGACCATAAAATTAGAGAAATTGCAAATTAGGACCCATGACAGTATTAGCGTGTTTTGATAACAATTTTGTGAACCGGCTTCTATTTGTAATTTTTCTAATTTCACGGTCTTTTTTGCAATTTTTTCTTTTTTATTTGTTTTTAGATTGAGCCTGAAATCAAATGCAGGCCTAAGAATAAAAATTTGTAATGTCTTTCCCAAATTTAATGTTAAACTGTAAAACCTTGTATGGGTTATTCTCAGTAGTTCACCAAAATTACCGGTCCCTTGAATGAGCCAAACTAGTCAACGTCATTTAAAAATGCTAATGTGGCCTAGCAATTTGTAAGTTTGGAAGCATGGAAAGCGCCACGTGTTTGGAATATATACTCAATGAACAGTTGGATCCAGCAAAGTAAGTGAATTTCTTACAATACCAAACTTAAATTTAAATTTTAGTTGGAAAATGTACTCATATTTAATGTTCGTCGTGTCTTAGATGTGATTCTTGAGGTGGACGGGTGTTTCTGTGTGAGCGTTTTCCCTCTATATATAATGGTTTCTTTAAGAAAAAATTCTTTAAAAATACCATTTGAATTTTAAAATTTTAAATAAATCTTATTTTTTACACTTTAATAATAATTGATTACACTTGAACATAAATGAAAATATAATTTTATAATAATTTTTTATTTGAGATTTTAAAATTCAAGTTGTAATTTTATGGGATTTTTCCTTTCTTTAATGGAATTGGAAAATTAAAAATGCTTACCATAAAAACAAAAAGGATGATTAAAACTCGTGGGCCAAAGCAAACAGAATTACAGAACCACCATATATCACTTCCGGTTCTTATATAAGATCTTGTTTAATTTTTATTTAATCTTAAATATAAGACTTCAATCTACTTTGTCTCTCATATTTACTTAATTTTTTTCAAGATAATCTTTCTAATAATTATAGTTCTAGTTAATACACTTGATTAGTAAGGATATTTTAAGAAAGACAAGGACAAATAACTAACTCAACTTACTTACTTAATCTCCTCAAATTAGTCAACTGGCTCTTATAATTAGGATCTGTATATAAAATTTCCAATTTTCGGCTCTTCATGTTCAATTTGGGAGAGCCTTTTTGTATCTAAAAGTGAATTTGATCAACTCCCAATGATTTTTCACGTAGAATTAGGAAAATTCCGAAGCTTTATTCGGATAGTTTGTCCTTTAAAAAAAATCATAAAATAACCGTTCTTCAATATAGTATTCTCAGAATATTATATTCATACATAATTTCAGGGAAAAAAGTAAAACCCAATTACAATGTAAAAGTATATGACGCTACATAATACTCCTCCGGTCCTTATTATAAGACCCAATTTGACTTTTTATTTGGTCCTAATTATAAGACCTAATCCATTTTCTCTTTTATATTTATGCATTTTTTTTCAAGATAATCCTTTTAATAATGATAGTTTTAGCCAATATACTTAATTAGCAAGGATATTTTAGGAATAACAACACTTATTTATTATAAATAACCAACTTAACTTACTTCCTTAATCTCCTCAAATAAGTCAATTGGGTCTTATAATTAGGACCGGAGGAGTATATTCTTTTAACTGAACCAATCCCTTCAGGTCGTACATATTACTATCTCCAATTCTAACTATGAGACCTCGTTTTCTTATAAATAGGATTGGGGGTAGTATTAGTTAATCAAAACCTAATCGGAATTAGTTGGGTGCTCTTACGGTTATATTTGGCATGTAACCTTGGTAAATATGGTCTCATTTTTCTTCTGAAAAAATTATTTCTTCTGGTCCCTAATTATACAACAAATTTATATAAATTAAAAAAATAATTAAGGTACTCATTTGTTAAAAATGTGTGTTGGTTTTTTTCTTACAATATCGTATTTAATCGTTTGTGTTTGAATTTAGAAATGTCACTTGATGGAAACACTCTTAATATATATAATTAATATGGATAGTTTGAGGGAAAAAAAATAAATGTGAAAGATAAAATAGACTAAAATTTTATATTTAATATCAAAATAAACTTCCAACTAGCTCATATACTTGAAATTTGAGAGTAATACTACGCTTAGTCTTTAATGTAAGACCTATTTAATTAATTTGAAAAAATAAAGAAAGTTATTAAATTACTTTAAATTAAACTATTTATATTTATCGTTTTTCTTCAAATTAATTTTTCTTATTTATAAATTAGTATACAATCTAATGATCCATATAAATATTTTAGACAAATCATATAATATATATTATAATTAAGTAATTTAGTAAAAGTGAAATTTGGCGAAAAATGTCTTGATTGGTTCGTGATTTTGAAAACGAAGACTTACTTTGAAGCAAGAGAGCGGGTACAGCCACCACTACTGCATATGTCCAAATTGGTTGAGCCTTTCAAACCACTTTCAGTTTCTTCTGTTTTTGTCCTTCAACTGCCCCGTATTCGTTTGGCAAAACTTTGACATGTGTGTGCCTATATATATAATTTGACAAACAAACCCTTCATATATTTCTTTTGGTATAATTCAAAATAGGCTTAAGTCATTTGAGACTTGAGACTAATTTCTGTCAGGTCAAAACTATTATTTTTTTTAAAAAAAGTTAATTATAAATGCCAATCTAATACATTATGTTTTTATGTGCTTTGGTGAGGTTTATGAACATAAGGACTTGTTATTCAGGGACAATAAAAGAATAATAAGATAATGGATTTTTTTTTTCCCATAATCTGCCGAGTTCATGTTGCATATCTTCCTCACTTTTTTTTGGTAGGAAAAATGACAAAAAAATACTGAAAATTACTAAATGTTAAATAAGAAGTGTCAACAAAAATTTGTTGTCATTTATAAATTCAGTGTTATTGGTACTAAATAAAGTGTTGTTACCAAATCTAATTTGAGATTTAATACTCTTCCGTCCTTAATATAAGACCCATTTAACTGATTTGATTAGATTAAGAAAGTTAGGTAAGTTAGTTAATTATAAGAAATGTGACACGTTTTTCCTAAAATACCATAATCATCTTTCTTAACACCTCATTTCCCTCTTCTACTTGATTATGGTTGAGGAAGTATTCATAGGGGTAATTTAGAGAAAATTGATAAATATGAGAAATGGATCTTATATTAGGATTAAAAGCAACTCAGTAATTGGGTCATATATTAAAAGGACGGAGGAGTAATTTTCAGCTTCTTTTTTTGTCATTTTTTTTGGTATTTATTTATTTTTCCGATCTCGTGTACTTCTTTTATGATCTCCATGCCCAATCTGCTGCATTGCTCCTTGGGCCTCACGAACTAATAAAATGGGCCTTTGTTTTTGTCTCTTTGGGTCTGATCCATCTGTATCATATTTTTTTGACAATTATCATTTACGTTAGTATTTGAAATTGATCTAGTGGTTCGGACCACGCTCATTAAAAACAAAAATATGAAATATTTATCTTAATTTAAGTAATCCAAATTGATTTCAGGTGGTTTAGATCTAATTTTAAATATTTTTTACTTTAAAAAATATAGAATTTAAGATGAATTTACCTCATAACTGAAACTTTTAAAAACGTAAATTGTTATTGAACAAAAATTTAAATTTTGTTCATCCATATTAAATTATAGATGATATAAATTTCATCATAAAACATGATTTTTACTTGTTCCAATTTGAGTTTTTAGAGTGTACGTGCGATCATGTTTTATTTATGGAAATAAACGTATTATCAGTATTAAATGAAGTCATAAAAAAAAATCACCAAACATCAACTAACTGTTTGGTGAAACTATCAAAGTTCATATATCTTTTTGTGGTGGACATTGGACAGGTGACACCTCACTTCCATCACAACCATGACATTGCCCACTCACTAGTCTCCACTTTTGAGTTTAATCACCATTAACTCCCACTTAATCAAAACACTAATTCCATTCTTAAGCTTACTGAACAATAATTAGTTTGATTCACTGGGGCCATTTATCAGTTAGTTTTTGTTAAAGACATTAACTACTACTCACCTATTTATTTATTTGTCAATTTTTATCATTCTCAATGCATAGATAGGGCCAGCCTACCCTCTAACATCATTGGACAATCCTTATCTGTAATTTGTACTTTGTATGAAGTTTTTTTTTTCTTAAAAAAAAAAAACAAATTCAAGTTGTTCATAACCTATGCATTTTCTGATTTCTTCTAAATTTTCCCTTTCCTTATCAATTTGTTTGGCCTGAATCCATTTTTGTTCAATAGTTATATTCAAGTTTATTTTTTATTTTTATGACATGTTACGCTCAAACTTAGATCTTGGAACAATTTAATTTGACATTATGGAAAAGTAATGAGTGAATTGATCTCCAATTCCATCCAAATATACATGGATCCACGCTAATTAACACCCCATATAAAAATATATATATAGAAAGACCCTACACATAATTGTGAAAATAAAAAGATAAGAAGCACTAATTGCTTACATGTTCGACAGCAAATTCCAGAAAGATGGTTATTGGAGGACATTGGGATCACAAAAAAGGTAAGAAAACTGAAGAAAGCAATAAAATTCTCCATGTAGATATCCTAAAAATTGAATCTTGATTACATGTAAACCATAGTTTTCCTGAATTGATCTCTTCTATATATTACTGCCTCGAGAATGATCAGAAGTGGTATGAGTATGATGGCATGATTAACTGATACCTCACGATCACCAAAAGCCCAGAAGCAAGGTCACCAAGCCCGGCAATACGGCTGCCGCCGGCAGAAAACTCCGGCGACTTGCGCTGTTGAAGTTCTCATCCACCGGATACAGGTTGCTGGGAGGACCGGTTATGTAGATGAAAGAAGGGGGCGGTGGCGGTGGCGGACAATACTGTGAAGGTGATTTCTTTGGGGAAGGAGGCGGCGGAGATGGCGGTGGAAGCGCAGGAGGAGGGGGTGGTGGAGAGCTGTAGTCACCACAGGGCGAGCATTTCCGATCGCCGGCCGGCACGGTGGTTTCATCCAACTTCCTAGAAGAATACACGACTTGGAGAGGAACAGTGAGACAGAGAATGAGGAGGAAGATGAAATTGAGAGCCATTGGAAGCTGAATTTGATGCTCAGAAATGAGACTGAAGAATTGCAAAACTTAGGAGATGTGGGTGTGAGCTGTAATGTGATGAAGTTTGGTTTTAGAGAGAGAGAGAGAGAGAGAGAGAGGGATTTCTTTTCTTACGTTACTTGAGGTGCATGGGAACTTTAAAAAGAGCAAAATGCCTTTGGAGTTAAGTCTGGTTCTCTTTTTTATAAATCAAAATTGAAAATTGTCATATATATGGTATTTTAATTTATATTTTTCCAATTTTTTAAATAAATTTTACATTTGGACAGTTGAAATTTGACATTTTATTAAGTCTGCAATGTGAGTTAATGATATTTATTGTACTCTACCATCCATTTGATATAGATTTATTGTTGTCTTCTTTTGCCACCAGATTTATTGTCATCTTATATCCACATAACTTCAGTTCAATCAAAGAATTTTAAGATTATTTAATGTGATTTATCTCAAGTTTGGACGAACTTTTTAAGCGAATTATGTTTCTTTTCTGCTGGCACAAGTGGGTTTAATGTTTGATTAACAAATGATGGCCTTTCATATCTATAAGTTTTTTTTTTGTTTGGATAAACTTTCATATCTATAAGTTAGTTCCAGTTGTGAATTAAGAAGCTTAAAGGGGAAGTAATCGATGCAATGATCAGCAGCAAAAAGGTAGTTTGAGGATTGAAGTGAGAGATAATAGGAACCATAATCATAGGTTGCAAAAAGGGAAAAGGCGATTCCTTCATTGCCCCAAAAACAGAGTATTTAGACCCTTTTTTTGTTGTTCTGAAAAAATAATGTGTGAAAAAAACAGAGTATTAAAGCATTTTGAGGTGAATATGGTGAAGGTTTTATTATTGATTCACATGACAAAACCTTCTCTTTTGGGTATTGTGCATGTTGCCACATGCATGATCCATCCCCTGCTTCCATCAAAACTAGCCATATCATTGACTATCCTCCCATCCATTATTATTCTACAATAGAAAATTAAAATCTTCTGTCCTTTTGAGATTAAAAAAAAAAAAGCTTTACATTCATTGTAATAGAGTTGTTTTATATAGAATTCCTATTGAAAGAAGCTATGTATTTAGTATCTGACAGTATCTCGAATAAGATTATCTTCAATAAAAAAAGATTTGATCTAAAAAATAATTATTTTTAGGAAAAATAGTAAAAAAATGGCTGAAATAAAAAAATTGTAAATAACGACTCATGACAATATTAGTTTAAGTTTTGACAATAATTTTTATAAACCGGTTCCTGTGTACAACTTTTCCATTTCGACAGTCTTTTTTTGCCATTTTTTCTTATTTTTATATAATTATATTATATCAAATAGACTAATATATCAAGTCGAATCCAAATATTGTCTTCAATTGAGAGTAATATTTTTAATATTTTTTTTAACATTTTCATTATTTGACCTCTTTAGGTTTACTTAAGGGAACTGAACCAATCAAAAATTATGTTTAAGATTCAAAGTTGATTTAAATAAAGAAAAAGAGAAACAACAAATGAGGTGTAAATATTAAGTCATAGATACATCAACATTGTGCACATGCATTTGATTCTAACCATATATAATAATAATGAGGGCACATGCATACATTTCCTGTATATACACCGACCTTGTCTTGTCTTGTAGGACTCTTAAGTCATAACCCTTCAATTAGAAGGAGTTATAAGTCACCATCCCACTGGACTTGTGTACCTTTTGAGTCATCCCAATTCACACTTCCCTTTCTCATTGCCCTTTATTCTTTTTTTTATTTTTATTTTAAATTTTTGACTTATTCTTCTCACCTCTCTGTTTGTGTGTGCATAAATAAAGCAACAATACTTCAAACCTCAAATTTTCATGAAAATTTGACCCCCCTTTTTTTTGGGGAGATTGACAATTAAATAGAGTGTTTTAACTATTGTTATAATTGAATTAGACTAATTAGTCTGATTAGAAATGAGTACTCAATTTTGGTTCATTTTGGCTGGCTCAAAAAGGGAAACAATTAATTGAAAACCAAGCAATTTGGCCAATCAATTAATCATACGCTTCTTTTATTTTTTTTCCTTTAATATTGTAAGCATATTTAATAAAGACTGTTAGGGAGTCTTGATCATGAGGTGTTCAATATGTTTCGAATGTAGTGTTTGTTGAGTTGGGTAAAATTAGAAAAGCTAATATATTTTTCTCCAAAAGAAAAGTGTTGGGGCATCCCTTTAAAAAATTAAAAAAAAGGAAATGGAGGGAGAAAAAGCAGACAAAAGGAAAATGAAAAGAATGGATTCCCTCACCGTCCCATTTTTTATAAAGGCATCTTTGTGATGTGTTGTGAGAATCCCCCTTTTGATCTTTTGGGTCCATTTTCCTCACTCAGACAAATTAATAATTTTATTTTTTATTTTTAATTTAACAATCCCTTTTGGGAGCTTCTTCACACTCGTAAGGAATAATGCTCTCTGTTCTCTTCCATCCCCATGATTTATTTTATTCTATTCGATCATATATACATATCCAATGATGAAGGCATGAAGCAGACACCATACTTTTCTAATGATTTACAATTAAGCTTTTTGGCTCGTGTCACTTGGAATTAGTTAATTAAATAATTTCTTAGTCATATTTTGCACACAGTTAATTATACTGCTCTCCATTTGAGTTTAAAATTACCAACAAGACAAAAACATACACTTCAAACATAAAAAACGGAGTTGACCTTTTGTGTGCTTGGGAAAAAAATTCATTTTTATTTGGGCGCTCAAATGGGTCGATTGGGTTGTTGCGTTTTAGGTGACTGAGGGTGTGTTTGGATGAAACCAAACCGTGGTTTGGAAAAGTGATTCTGGAGAATAGATTTTGGGGAAAATAAATTCTGTGAAGAATAGATTTTGTAAAAAAGTGATTCTGAGAAGTGAGAGTGTTTGGATAGTTGTTATCAGAAGCACTTTTTATATATACAAATTACTAAAAAAAAGACATAAGTTAATATGATAATTACAGAAAAAATAGATTTTATGATATATTTTAATTTGAATGAATAAAATTGTTAATAATATGTTTTTTACCAACATAATTAATAATACATAAGATAATATAATTAATAAATAATTAATGTGTATATATATTTATAAAATATAAGATTAAATATATTTATAAAAAAATATGTTTATAAAAAAAATAACAAGATACATATCATATAGGCCCTTACACTCTCCCTTTTTTCTCCAAAAGCAAAAAAAATTTGCTTTTTCCAAAACCATGGTTTTGGTTTTTGGAGGGGGTGTTTGGGTAGATTATTCCCCAAACACACCCTGAGAATGGATTGATCTATTTAAGGGCCTGTTTGGGTATCTCAAAACCGTGGTTTCAGAAGCACTTTTCCGCAAAACGAGATAATCTCCTTCACATATTTACTTCGTAATCCGTAAAAGCACTTCTGAAATCATAGTTTGGTTTCTATCCAAACACACCCTAAATAGAATTAGATTTTCAACTTTGACCCCAAAAACATTGATGCCCTTATTTTGGGCTGACGTGATGGAAATTAAATTGAACGAGCGCGCCCAATCCATAAAATTTAAACAGAGTAGTACGAGCCCAAGTTCTTCACAGGCCCAGACCAGCCTGCAATCACCCCTCTCTAAATAACAAGAAGTTGAGCTACCAATAAGAAGTTAGATCTAGCAGAAAAGACTAATCCCTCACAACATGACGAATCAAGATTCAAACATCGATTGGAAAAAGTATCCACATTTAGTACCTGACAATGCCTCGACTAGAATTACAGAAATACCCACATTTAGTACCCGATAATATTTCAAATAGAATTATTTCTAATAAGAAGACATCTCTGCTTTAACCCAAAAAAAAAAAACGAAGCTGAGCTGGTCCAGTTCTACTACTTAGGGTGTGTTTGGGTGACACTCCAAACCATGGTTTGGGGACCCAAACCATGGTTTGGGGTGTCAATCACCCAAACACCCCCTCTAAAAACCAAAACCATGGTTTTGGGTCAAAACCATGGTTTTGGAAAAAGCAAAATTTTTTTGCTTTTGGAGAAAAAAGAGAGAGTGTGAAAACCTATATGATATGTATCTTATTATTTTTTTTATAAACATATTTTTTGATAAACATATTTAGTCTTATATTTTATAAATATATATACACATTAATTATTTATTAATTATATTATCTTATGTATTATTAATTATGTTGGTAAAAAATATATTATTAACAATTTTATTCCTTCAAATTAAAATATATCATAAAATCTATTTTTTCTGTAATTATCATATTAACTTATGTCTTTTTTTTAGTAATTTGTATATATAAAAAGTGCTTCTGATAACAACTATCTAAACACTCTCACTTCTCAGAATCACTTTTTTACAAAATCTATTCTTCACAGAATCTATTCTCCAGAATCACTTTTTCAAACCACGGTTTGGTTTCATCCAAACACATCCTTAAACTTTCACGTACTCACAATTGAAAAGAAAAACTGTTTATAGGTCATTTTAATGGGCAGACCAATCCGCCCTCTATTATTTAAATAAATATTTATTTCTAAATTAAATTATAAAATTTTATCCATTCACAAACAAAGCTATGATTATTTAAATAAATTATGATAAGTTGGCCATACCAAAAAACAGTTTACATAAGCACATTAACAAGCTCTGAACAAAGATATTTCCTCTTAATCTTGTGTGTACGTAATACATAACACCAAATCAGAAACTTAGAAATGAGCATCATTTCAAACAAGCAAGCACTCACTGCCAAAACCCAAACCAAAAATAGAATTCAGCAAATTTCCCTAAACCTTTCTCTCAGCAAAATGTTCATCAAAATCTCCAGAAACAAACAAAATCACTTCCATCCTATTCTCATAACAAAACAGGCGCTAACAATTACAATCCAATGGCCTATAGGTCGAAAATGTGAGTTCTTCATTTACATTCCATTTCAGGTTTCTGACTTCAGAATCACTCTCGAAGGCCACATGTTCTTCATCCTCTTCATCATCACCACCGCCACATTGGAGCAAAATTTTCAACAAGCAAGCCAGAAGAAGACTGGCATCAACAATTGTATTGAATTGCAATTCAA